ATATAAATAATTAAAAGTGAATTTATTGTTAATTAAATGACAGATTAATGGCAATCTATGTGAAAAATCCGACCCCATCTGAGATCATCTTCCATTCGGTGCTGCAATACATAAGTGGTGTCACATATTATTTAAGCGCAACCATTAATCCGAGTCAGTATACCATTCATGTCATACATATCTAGTTATTTGGTTTCCTTAAGCAAACACTGTCTTAAACAAACTCATGTCCTGATTGTGACTTTGCTTTTCTCTTTTTGTATGTATTGCTCGCATATCCAGTCCTTTACTCGATTATGTCTCTCAAGTTTCGTCAGGCATTCAAAGACACATTCATGAGGTGTTGTGGAGGCGAACAGAGAAGCGCTAACAGAATGGGTAAGTTTGTCGGTTCCACTTCCTCTTACACACAGATCAGAGTCAACGGCACTTATAAGACAACCCTCAGCCGCGCCACCGATGTGTCCCATTTGCCGTCAGACACGGCTAACGGATATCATATGCCAAACGGCATAAGACATACACACCCAGAGATCTCTCAATTCATACCACTTTCGCATATCGATGAGACACAAGAGTTTTAAAACTAATTGAATGTCATTTTGATGTTGTTTTGTAATAACGTCACAGAATATTCTCTATGAATTTGTTGTCATTTTGTTATTCATTTTTGTGATCGCCTATAGAAGCGATATATTTGTGTTCATCTCGTATACTAAAACTCAATCAATCAATAAGTTGTATAAAAACATCTACAAAAAGATTGAGTGCAATCTTAAAGAGTTTTATCTTAAATAACCTTTTCTTACGATACTATATATTGTTGTCAATGAATAGCACATGCATTCATAGGATCTCAAATAATGTTATTTTTGTGTTTCTTTATTGTGTTAATTTAATTGTATAAAATAAAAAACTAGTTAATAACCTATTTTTAACATAATAAATTATTTAAACATATATTTATAATCAACAAACAAGTAAAATACAGAATTTAATTTACTATTTTAAATGATGATCGCAATTGAATTAATAACTGCAATCTACTAAAGATTAAGTTATATTGAAAAGTTTAGAAAAGTTAATATAAGAAAAGTTATATGGCCAAAAATATTAAAAACCCTTTGTAATAATTATTTAATGAATTTATTATAATTATAAAAATCAAAACAAATGATTAGTTAATACCAGATCTAAAAATCTCAATTTTAATGTTAAATAAACAATTATTAAAATGGTTTAAAACTATATATCATTTAAATCACACATTTGTTGCGGGAGTTAACAGTAAATTAGGTTAAAGTTGAGAGGAATTAACGATTTATCCATTAAACTAGTGCTAAAGAATGACATTTTAATAAACGTAATGGACTTTCAAATGAATTCAGTTTCTGTGTTTCAAATGGGTTTTTATGAAGCCTTAGATTAATAGCATGTCTTCAGTTAATTTACA